AATGGCTTGAGCAGGAATGTTGTTCGTATACTTCTGGAAGTGAAGATAAGGAGCGTCTTCCTGGATCAAAATGACCTGCTTACTCTTCCACCACATTACTTCTTTCTATGGTGATCTTTGCAGTGCTGGGTATGAGGAACATGGTTGAAGACTTGAGGTTCATTGTTGAGGTTCATGCAGGCTCAGTGGCGTTTCAAACTCCATTGTGAATGCACACTACAAAATAAAAGTATTCACATAGAATCATAGAGCTGGAAGAGACCTCGTGGGCCATCCAGTTCAACCCCTTTCTGCCAAGAAGCAGGAAAATTACATCCAAAGCACCCCCAACAGCCTCTGTTTAAAAGCCTACAAAGAAGGAGCTTCCACCAAACTCCGAGGCAGAGAGTTCCATTGCTGAACAGCTCTCACAGGCAGGAGACTTCTTCACATCTATCTATATCTATCTATATCTTCTATATCTATATCTATATCTATATCTATCTATACATATAATAAAAGTCAAAGTTTGTATGTGGAGGACAAAAGTGTGGCGGTGTGGCGGGAGGAGTATGTGCCAGCGTTCTGATTGGCTGCCGCTGTGGTGCTATTTGCATATGGTCTCTGATTGGCCAGCTTCAATAGGAGCCCCTGGTGGAGAAAAGAGTTCATGGCAGAAACGGGGACATGAGAAGGAAATTTGCATATGGTCTCTGATTGGCCAGCCTCAATTCCAAGATTCCGAGATGACAAAGAGAGGAAAGGAAAAGGCCAGAGGGGGCTGAGTCAGACAATTACCAATACAGACCAGACTTGGCACACAAAGCCCCCATGACCCACTCGACATCCTACTGCAGTTTGGAGGAGGATGAACCATGGATGATGGGACTTGCAGTACCATCATTCACATTCTGAGACCGCTGTTAACCTCATCCAATGACTGATCAGGACCAAACTTGGCACATAGACCTCTCATGACCCACTTTACGTCCTGGTGTGGTTTGGCTGGGGATGGACCATGGATTATGGGACTTGCAGTACCTTTGCTCAATTCTTGAGACCACTGCAACCCTCATCCAATTACCGATAAAGACCAAACTTGGCACACTGAGTCTCCATGACCTCTACATCCTGGTGCGGCTTGGAGGAGGATGCACCATGGATGATGGGACTTGCAATACCTGCACTCCCTTCCTAAGACCATTACAACTGCCAACAATGATGGATCAGGACCACAATTTACACAGAGAGCCCGCATGACCCACTCTACATCCTGGTGCGGTTTTGGAAGAATTTGACAATGGATGATGGGACTTGCAGTCACTTCACTCACTTCCTGAGACCACTGAGACCCTTGCCAATGACTGATCAAGACCAAACTTGGCACACAGAGTCCCCATGACCCACTCTACATCCTGGTGTACTTTTGAGGAGGACAGACCATGGATGATAGGACTTCAAGTACCTCCACTCTCTTCCCAAGACTGCTGCAACCCTCATCTAATGTCCGAACAAAACCAAACTTGGCACACAGAGCCCCCATGACCCACTCTACATCCTACTGCGGTTTGGAGTAGGGCATACTATGGATGATGGGACTTGAAGTACCTCTACTCGCTTTCCGAGACTGCTGCGACCCTCAACAATGACTGAACAACACCAAATTTGGCACATAGACCTCTCATGACCCACTTTACACCATGGTGTGGTTTGACTGTGGATCGAGCATGGATTATGGGACTTGCAGTCTCTTCGCTCAATTCCTGAGACCACTGCAACCATCATCCAATTTCCGATAAGGACCAAACTTGGCACACCGGGTCTCCATGATGCACTCTACATCCTGGTGTGGTTTGGAGGATAATGCACCATGGACGATGGGACTTGCAGTTCCTTCACTCACTTAGTGAAACTACTGAGACCCTCATCCAATGACTGATGAAGACCAAACTTGGCACACAGAACCCCCATGGCCAACTCAACATTCTGGTGAGGTTTGGGGGAGAACAGACTATGGATGATGGGATTTCAAGTACCTCCACTCACTTCCCAAGACTGCTGCAACCCTCATCTAATAACCAATCAAGACCAAACTTGGCACACAGAGCCCCCATGAGAGACTCTACATCCTGGTGCTGTTTGGAGGAGGACGGACAATGGATGCAGTACCTTCACTCACTTCCTGAAACCACAGTGACATTCATCCAAATACCAATAAAGACCAAACTTGGCACAGAGAGCCCCCATGGCCAACTCAACATTCTGGTGATGTAGAGGGAGACTATGGATGATGGGACTTGCAGTACCTTAACTCACTTTCTGAGACTGCTGTGACCCTCATCCAATGACTGATCAAGACCAAACTTAGCACACAGAGCCCCCATGACCCTCTCTCCATCCTGGTGCAGTTTGGAGGACGATGGACCACAGATGATGGGACTCACAGTACCTTCACTAACTTCCTGAGACCACTGCGAGCCATATAAATAACTGATAAAGACCAACCTTGATATACAATTCCTTTCTCTAATAACCTGGGCAGCGCCGGGTCCCCAAGCTAGTCTATAATAAAAGAGAGTGTTTGTATGGGAAGGACAGAGGTGCGGAGGGAGGAAGGTGTATGTGCCAGCGTTCGGATTGGCTACCGCTGTGGTGCTATTTGCATATGGTCTCTGATTGGCCAGCTTCAATAGGAGCCCCTGGTGGAGAAAAGAGTTCATGGCAGAAACGGGGACATGAGAAGGAAATTTGCATATGGTCTCTGATTGGCCAGCCTCAATTCCAAGATTCCGAGATGACAAAGAGAGGAAAGGAAAAGGCCAGAGGGGGCTGGGTCAGAAAATCACCAATACAGACCAGACTTGGCACACAAAGCCCCCATGACCCACTTGACATCCTACTGCAGTTTGGAGGAGGATGAACCATGGATGATGGGACTTGCAGTACCATCACTCACATTCTGAGACCGCTGTTAACCTCATCCAATGACTGATCAGGACCAAACTTGGCACATAGACCTCTCATGACCCACTTTACGTCCTGGTGTGGTTTGGCCGGGGATGGACCATGGATTATGGGACTTGCAGTACTTTGCTCAATTCTTGAGACCACTGCAACCCTCATCCAATTACCGATAAAGACCAAACTTGGCACACTGAGTCTCCATGACACACTCTACATCCTGGTGCGGTTTGGAGGAGGATGCACCATGGATGATGGGACTTGCAATACCTGCACTCCCTTCCTAAGACCATTACAACTGCCAACAATGATGGATCAGGACCACAATTTACACAGAGAGCCCGCATGACCCACTCTACATCCTGGTGCGGTTTGGAAGAATTTGACAATGGATGATGGGACTTGCAGTCACTTCACTCACTTCCTGAGACCACTGAGACCCTTGCCAATGACTGATCAAGACCAAACTTGGCACACAGAGTCCCCATGACCCACTCTACATCCTGGTGTACTTTCAAGGAGGACAGACCATGGATGATGGGACTTCAAGTACCTCCACTCTCTTCCCAAGACTGCTGCAACCCTCATCTAATGTCCGAACAAAACCAAACTTGGCACACAGAGCCCCCATGACCCACTCTACATCCTACTGCGGTTTGGAGTAGGGCATACCATGGATGATGGGACTTGAAGTACCTCTACTCGCTTTCCGAGACTGCTGCGACCCTCAACAATGACTGAACAACACCAAACTTGGCACATAGACCTCTCATGACCCACTTTACGCCATGGTGTGGTTTGACTGTGGATCGAGCATGGATTATGGGACTTGCAGTATCTTCGCTCAATTCCTGAGACCACTGCAACCATCATCCAATTTCCAATAAGGACCAAACTTGGCACACCGGGTCTCCATGATGCACTCTACATCCTGGTGCGGTTTGGAGGATGATGCACCATGGACGATGGGACTTGCAGTTCCTTCACTCACTTAGTGAAACTACTGAGACCTCATCCAATGACTGATGAAGACCAAACTTGGCACACAGAACCACGTCATGGCAGTCTCTGGCATGTGTTATTATGTAGTCTAAGAGGTGCCAATGCTTTGACCGGGGGTGCTTCCATGATGTCTTGAGCTTGTTTTTCTGGCGGAAGAGCATGTTCAGAACAAAGTCCGGCAACAACCAGACTTAAAAGACTTAAAGAGAAGCAAAATATAAGCATAAAAATTGTCGCCACAACACAACACATTAAAAGAATCCTGCCTGTGCATGCCCAAAAATTCTAGGAGGCCCAGGAATTAAGTGCAATGCTATGGCAGGCAACAATAATATTAGGTACGGGTCTGTGGCTGTTCATTCCGGGGCCGATTAGTTGCATGCAGCAGTTGCCCATAATATTACTTCATTTTAAAAAAGTAGTTTTAGACTACACTTAAACTTGGTTTTCATATATTTCATATTTAAAACATTTTTACACACTGTACATTACAATGAGAGCCTGAAATGTTGAAATGTGCTAAATGCAACATTCCAGAGAAATCTGTAAACAAATGAAACACAACATGCATCAGGGATGGAAATCAAGTTATTTCTGTTCTGTTGGAAAAAGCCCTCACCTTGATGCTTCAGGCAGGATACAAAACTATCTGGAAAAATTAACAGTTATTTAACTGTCAAAGTGTCTTCAATATATGTTGACTCTTTGGACAAATTATCTCCAGGCTTAATTAGCTATTTTATCTCTGAGGTGAGCACGCATGGGCCCTAAGGCTCCCTATCAGCATCCATGGCTTGGGGTGCCAGCCACCATTGGCTGCTTCTGGGTGATATGTCTCCTCAAAGTTAAGATATAAAAGGGAGAGAGGAAGATGCCTTAGGTCAGTACAGCATTTCAAGGGAGGAGCACCCACAGGTAAGAGTAGTCTCATTGGGACTAAAATAGGAGAAATTACAGGCCACGTATAGGTGAGAAAGCAAAGATAGGGAAGTTGGGAAGAGCGTGATTCTAACTTTTTCCCATCAGGTGAAATTTTTCCTTTGCTTTTTCCTTCCCAGAAAACCCCAAATTTGGCAATTTGACCCCATGGAAGTGTTGAAAGAATGGCCGGGTCATCCCAAGGAATTCTACAATTTGGTGTGGTTCAAGATGGGAGGTTACAAGAGCATGATGCCCAAGATGGACCAGGTAGGTTGGGGCATCTCTATGGTCACTTCATTAGCTCCTCTTTTAAGTCTGGTTGTTGCTGGACTTTGTTCTGAATACCTTTTGGGAGTGTTTAAGCTGAATGAGCACTGGTACTGATTCATACAATTATGTGTTATTTGTGTGCAAACCTGCTGAAAACTCCAGTATCTGAAAATGCACTCTGCATCTGTTCATATGACCTATGAAATCATCCTGTCCAATGGCCTGATTGGTGAGTTTCTGGGAAATGGGGATACTGCTTGTTTACCATTCATCTCTTTTTCTTACTGTGTGTGTTGCTCCAAGTTGCCTGTTGACTTGCGCTTAGCCCATGAATATAATTAAAGTTGGAGGATGTGAGGCAGAATTATTATTATTATTATTATTATTATTATTATTATTATTATTATTATTTCAAGCATTTATACCCCGTCCTTCTTGACCTCAGAGGTGGGACTCATAATGGCTTCTGAAAACAGGCAACAATTCAATGCCAAACATGATACAAAACACAAAATAAATACATTCATATACATTAAAATTATATATATATCTGGCAAACAAGTTCACCAGATTAAAATCACCAGATTAAAATCGTAGTCCAAAACAGTCCAAGTACAGTCCAATAAAATCTTGTCTTCCCAGTAAAACAACTATTCTGTGAACGCTTGATCCCATAACCAGGATTTAAGTTTCTTCTGGGAGGTCAGAAGGGAGGGGATTGATCTAACCTCATTAAGGAGGGAGTTCCACAACTGAGGGGCCTCCAAGGAGAAGGCCCTGTCTCTCACCCCCACCAAATGCGACTGCGATGGCGGTGGGACCGAGGGCAGGGCCTCTCCAGATGATCTTAAGGTTCTAGATGGTTAATAGAGGGAAATACATTTGGGCAGGTAAACCTTACTTTTAGGCATTGGCACTTTACTTTTAGGCAAATTTCATGCCGGTCTTAATCTGTGCAGCGCAGCCAGTTCTCATCAGGAGCAACCCCTCACTCATCGTGGTGACTTCTAGATCTGTTGGGCTGCAGTTCGTAACTGCTGTGCTGACTATGGATGATAGGAGTTGCCGGTTAATAATATGTAGTTTAAACAGTTTAATCTGTTTACATTTAATTGTTTGTTTAATTGGTTATTATGTTATTGCACAGGCAATGAATGTCTGCCATTTAAACTCTGGGAGCCACCCTGAGTCCCAGTGGGGAGAGAAGGGGGGTTCAAAATAAAGTTGCATTATTATAATCCAACAGATCTGTAGGCACAAGATTTGGGGAAGCTACGATTGATCTCACCCTGTTTCCCTAAGTGTGTGACATGATATGTGTGACACTTCATTACACTAGGAAAAAAAAATCCACTTAAAATCCAGTTTCTGCCTCCTGCAGAATTCTGGAGTTTGTAGTTTAGTGAGACTATTAAAAGCTCCTCCCTAAACTACAAATCCCAGAATTCTGCAGTAGGCAGAAACTGGATTTTAAGTGGATTTTATTATCTAGTGTAATGAGCACATCCATAGGGAGACCAAGGTGCTTGTCTATAAAGCTATTGTCCTCCCAACCCTACTATATGCTTGTGAGACGTGGACTGTCTACAGACATCACATGCAACTCCTGGAACGATTCCATCAGCGATGCCTCCGGAAAATCCTGCAAATCTCCTGGGAAGACAAGCGGACAAACGTCAGTGTGCTGGAAGAAGCAAAGACCACCAGCATTGAAGCAATGGTCCTCCAACATCAACTCCGCTGGGCCGGCCACGTTGTCCGGATGCCTGACCACCGTCTCCCAAAGCAGTTGCTCTACTCCGAACTTAAGAATGGAAAACGGAACGTTGGTGGACAGGAAAAGAGATTTAAAGATGGGCTCAAAGCCAACCTTAAAAACTCTGGCATAGACACTGAGAACTGGGAAGCCCTGGCCCTTGAGCGCTCCAGCTGGAGGACAGCTGTGACCAGCAGTGCTGCAGAATTTGAGGAGGCACGAGTGGAGGGTGAAAGAGAGAAACGTGCCAGGAGGAAGGCACGTCAAGCCAACCCCGACCGGGACCGCCTTCCACCTGGAAACCAATGCCCTCACTGCGGAAGAAGATGCAGAGCAAGAATAGGGCTCCACAGCCACATACGGACCCACAAGGAAATCCATAATGGAAGACCATCTTACTCGTCCAACGAGGGATCGCCTAAGTAAGTAAGTAATGAGCCAGCCCGTCTTTTTCTTAAGGGCATTGCATTGTGATGCACCCCAAGTAATGGATGAGTAAGGTCTGTTTGAACGTTTTATTAAACCATAGGAAACAGTCTAATGAATGTGATGTCATAGAATTGCCTTCTGTGATTTCAGGTAATGCCAACCGCAGTGTTAGATGGTTGTTACCATAATGTCCCATGGGACATTGTGCCTGTTGTGCCTGTTGTGCGCATGTGGTGCTTTTTGTCACGGCCCTGGGCCCTACAATAAAATATTTCGATTGACTCAATAGCCATTTGAGCATGTACAAAGTTATTTTTTTTAAAATGCAGATGGCAGACAAAGCAGTGTTGAATCAGACTTAAGCTTGAAGACCCAAACAGTGCCTTCCACTAAATGTTGGAGTGCGCTGTTTCAGAAATATTAAAGGGCATGTGCATCCTCCGCGCAAACTATGGCTCTGTACGTGCCATTTATTTCTATATTAATCTACCATAAGATCTTAGAAACAACACCATTTGCTGTATTTAAAATGTGAAGTTACAACTACTTATTGCTTAATGATTACTGTTATCAGCAGCAATAGAGAAACATTCCAGTCTAAATTGCTTATGATATTTTATCTTTTCATCAAAGATAAATTGCCAAAGGTTACATTTCACTTTGACCCTATGGAATCCTAGAATTTCTAGGATTTTCTAGAGGTACTTATAATTCTCAGAGTTTCTTTAGTACCAGGCGAAAGTACAGACTCCAGAATTCCATAGAATGCATCCATGCATCTAAAGTGAAATTGCAACACTTGGGAAGAGCCTGAGCTTGGAAAACGGTACCATTTTGGAATACAATAGTGTAATGTGGCAATGTGGATACTTAAAACGAAAGTTACACATCTTCCAATGAAGATTACATCCACTTAACAGCCATGAGTCCTACCTATTAGATTGCAGGTGACAGTACAAAAAGATATCACAATGCTTAAAGATTTGATTTAATTTATTTTATTTATTAGGAGCATTTCCATCCCGCCCTTCTCACCTCCGAAGAGGGACTCAGGATGGATACCAACAGGCACCATTAAGTGCCAAACAATAAAAACAAAGCATAATATAAACTTAGCATACATTAAAAACAATGATAAATACCGTATATTCTGGCATATAAGACGACTGGGTGTATAAGATGACCCCCAATTTTTCCAGTTAAAATATAGAGTTTGGGATATATTTGCCGTATAAGACTACCCCTCTTCCAACACACACCTAATAAAATTTAAAAAGCATCAGATTTGATTTCAGTGTGGTAATTTTCCTGTTACTGTACCTCCTTCTCTGCCTCTCAGATCTCACACATGCGCACCTGCACCACTTCACTGCAGTCTTCAGGAGCGAGATCTGAGAGGCAGAGGAGGAGGTACGGTAATAGGATACAAGGGCAGGCCAGACAGGTAAAAGAGGTGTGTTTTTCTGGGTCCAGAAACATTCTATCTCTTTTTTCCATACCCCAGGCGCCCCGGATGCCTGCAGCTTGCTCCGCCCTTCACTTACACCTTCCTGGTGAGGCGCCCCTTCACCTCACCATTGGAATTGCATTAAGTCCGCGAATCCTGATGAATGGATTTTCTTCTACCGTACTTTTACAGCGTTGTCCTTAATGCTTTCATACAGTCACTGCATACGGCAGGGACACGGCCATTGCCATTTTTGAGCTCCCCACACCATATGTGGCAACCACAGATTCTCCAATCCGATTCCACAGATTCTCCAATCTGCTCTATAAGACTACTCCCATGTATAAGACTACTCCTGTGCATAAGACTACTCCAGTGTATAAGACTACTCCAGCGTATAGACTACTCCAGCATATAGACTCCCATGTATAAGACTACTCCAGCGTATAAGACTACTCCCATGCATAAGATTACTCCAGTGTATCAGACTACTCCCGTGTATCAGACTGCTCCCACGTATAAGACGACCCCTGAGTTTTGAGAAGATTTTCTTGGGTTAAAAAGTAGTCTTATATGCCAGAATATACAGTACATTAAAAGAGTTCCCCACTTCACGTCATCTTCCAAATCAATCCATTGCCGTCAGCTAAAAACAGTCAGTTGATCCCATAACCAGGGTTTGAGCTTCTTCCGGAAGGTGTTGAGGGAGGGGGCAGATATGATCTCATTAGGGAGGAAGTTCCATATCCAAGGGGCCACCATCGAAAAGGCCCTGTCTCTGATTCCCTCCAAATGCGACTGCGATGGCGGTGGGACCGAGAGCAGGGCCTCTCCAGACTACCTTAAGGTCCTTGGGAGTTTATAGAGATGGGCTGGAACCATTAAGGGTTTTATAGGTCAAGGCCATTTCCTGGGAGCATTCTGTGCTTCCTTGAAGGTGAATACTCAGGCTGCAGAGGATAGTCCTTTTCACATGGCTTCTACTGTTGCAACCCACTATCGTTTTTCCACCATGCAGTGCTCCATTTCGACTATAATAGTTTTGTGGTCTTTGGCATGAGTCGTAATTAAGATGTGCCTCTCCCAGACTTCTGTGAAGCAACAAAACTCATGGAGTGTCTTGTGCCACTCACTGTGCATGCCACCTCTGATTGCACATGGTGCTCCTCATTCCTCTTCATGGCCACCATTTCCAGGGTAACTGTTTCTCATATCCAGGCATACCCCACTGCTGTCTTCCTGCTCTGCCATCATCTTTCTGGCCTTATCGTCTAATTCCCAGGCCAATGCTACCTCCTCTTTCCTGCTGCAGGACGTGCTGAGTGAAAGTCTCTGCCATAAATACCTGATCCAGACTGGGCGAAGCGCTGCCCTAGTAATCCAGATGCTCGACAGGGAAGTGCGGTGAGTCAGTGTCATATATTTCTTCAGCCTGAAGCAGAGTTTTTCAGCTCAACCCTCCAAGTAGTATTAAAGTACTGTCTATAGTATGAGCAATACTTGGAACAAACAGTGGATGCAGGGCTTCTTTCCACAGGAAGACTTTATTATTATTATTATTATTATTATTATTATTATTATTATTATTATTTGCAGCTATTTACAGTATTCACAGCTCTCTCCAGAATCCTCCAATCCACCATACACCATCACATCACCCAACACCAACTTATTCTGTTGGTGCTCTTATATAGACTTGCATGATGTAATGTTCCATTCATGCATCAGGGCGTTTATACCTTTTAAATAATATATATATGATTTAAAAGGTATAAAACACATTTAAAACTAACTGTTGATGTCAAATGCCTTCAGGTTGTTTCTGATCTTAGCCAGACCTAAGATGAAAACACGACAGGATTTTTTCTGCAAGTTTTGTTCAGAAGAAGTTTGCCGGTCTTCCTTTGTGGCTAAAAATTTGAAACGCCAAAGTGTTTTTAAAGGCAAGGAATAGAGAATGATCCCTTTATCTGCAAGGTTGTATGTCCAGGATTCATATGAATACACAAAGAAATGGATAACAGCAGTCCTGTTGAAGAAAATGACTTCTGGCCCAAAAATAATGTAGAGTCATTTCTGAGGACTTTCCCCCACTTCCTGGGCATTCTTAATGAAACCAGTAAACGTAAGCATTGCCTACAGCACTCAGTATTCATTAGCATCTAAGTCACAAATAATCTTCTCACTTCCTGCCTTCACCAGACATGCAGTTTGCATCTTCTACTTGGTTCTCCGGGCACTAGACACAGTGGAGGATGACATGACAATTAGCTTGAAGACCAAGATTCCCATTTTACACAAGTTCTATTCTTACCTGTATCAGCCTGACTGGAGATTCATGGGCAGCAATGACAAGGACAAGCAAATACTGGAGGATTTCCCAACGGTGAGCCACTGCCTCCATACTTGAATCCTGAGCTTATGTTTCATTCTGTTGTTCTCCATGTTCCTCAACTATCACTAGATGTGTATGTACTGTGGGTAGGTGAAAGGGAGTAAAACAGAATTGTCTTCACTGGTCAAAACAGTTTTCCAACAATAGGCCTCAGCTGCTTGTTGCTCCATTTGTAAATATGAGAATAAAACTATATTTTGTTGACTGAATAAACCAAGGTGGGCAAATGAAAAACTAGAGGGTCACATTAACACCTGTCCAGGACTCCTTTGAGAGCTGCACCTGTTTCTTCCCCCTAATATCAAAATTTCTCACTTCCCAAACATTCTTTGCTGAGCATGGAAACATTCTCAAAGTTTTTGGACACATTACTGCCCTTCCAAGAGCATTTTTGGAACACTTAGAAACCAACATTGCCTTTGCAAAAAAATTATTTTGACATCAGGGAAAGGTTCTGGGACCTTCAAACATGATCCATTTCCAGTAGGAAACATCCAGAAGAACCTTATTCCCAGTACTGTGGGGTCCTGAGGACCACAAAAGTGACCACTGCCCAATAAATGTCTAGCATCGTAGGCTGTGGGTGGTAATTTTGTGATGGCATATCTCCTGATATGATTTGCAAACATCTTAGGTTAGCAGTTCTTAATCTTTTCATTAACACATAACCTCTTGTTGCATACCACCATAACATCATTTCAGACTTAAAAGCCTAAATGCTTGAAATAATAGTGTTGATGTGGTTGCATCCTGTTCACAAAACAAAATGAAGTTTCACTGGTTTCTGATTCATTTGAGTTAGTTCTCCAAATCAGCTTTTCCAAAGAATTATATATATCTTTCATTTCAGCAGATTAGTCCTTTCTCATCAACCTCAATTCATTAACATTTGGGTTCGTTCAATTGGTTTTGAGTATTGCACAGATTTTTTTGGTTCCATTTACATCCATTTACCTTGAAATAATTTAAGTGGCCAGTTGATCTAAAATATCAGCGCTATTCTTGTATTAATTTTGATTGAATATGCAATGCTCTGCAATGAAAATTCTTGCTAATATGGGGGTGGGGTTAAATATTCACCTCTTGTTAATTACTGGCTGCTGATAAGTTTCTGGTCTCAACTCAAGGTGCAAGTTATCACCTACAAAGCCTTACATGGTTCGGGACCTGCTTATCTTTGTGACTGTATCTTCCCCTATGTGATCTCTAAGATCTTCTGGGGGGGCCCTCCTCTCTCTCCCACACCCGTCACAAGTGTGGTTGGTAGGGATGAGAGAGAGGGCCTTCTCAGTGGTGACCCCCCCCCCCTGGTTCTGGAACTCTCTCCCCAGAGAGATTAGACTGGCACCCGCCCTGACCACCTTCCAGAAAGAACTAAATGTGGATGTTCCACTGTGCCTTTGGCTAGATAGTTCTCTGGATAAGTCTGGCCCCCAATTTGATCCATAATCAGATCTTGCACATCACCACAGTTCCCTTTTAGAGACATAGTGCTCTCCTTACATTACCCTCCAGTTTCTAATCTTGTTGTAACAAAAGGGAGGCCACCAGTTTGTAAAAGAAGCATGCACCCATGTGCAGTCCTCTGTCAACACTTTAATATCTGACTTGCTCTGTGTGTTGTAAAACAAAAGCCTCTTAGCTTGGAATCACAGGCCTGAGTCTCTCTTGTATGAAACAAAGTATCAACGTTTATTCAAACATTCCAAGCTCCAAACGATTGTGGTTACAATTACTATTTTTGTTGCGAACTTGAGTTACAGTCATGTATAATATACTTGGTGCACGTTCCTGTTAAACTCTTGACAGGATAATATTGTAACTTAAGCCACACTGGCTATAACGTATTCTCTGATTCCCCACTGTCTCTCTCTCTCAGGCAGGGTTAATTTCTTCTCTTCACACAGATTCCTAACTGTTCCCAAACAGCTTTTCCTTAACTAACTTCACAAGCAGCCATTCTCAACTAACTCTCTAACAGAGATTCCTCACTGTCTCCTTCAGACAGTGTTTCTTAACTTCTTCTTTTAGGCAGAGATTCCCAACTCTCCTTTTCTTAAACAGGAAGTCCTACTTCAGTAACAGAAGTTTCCAAGAAGAGCTTGAGTTCCTGAATGACCTTAAGGGCCTTAATATTGTCCTCGAGTTGTTGGATCCTCTGTTCCATGAGAGATATCTGTTTGCAGATGATCTACCGATAAGGTTCCCTATCATGTTCATGTTGGTGTAATGTGGGTTGCGTATCTAGAACAGCTTGTTGTGCTGTTTCCAAGAAGAGCTTGAGTTCCTGAATGACCTTAAGGGCCTTAATATTGTCCTCGAGTTGTTGGATCCTCTGTTCCATGAGAGACATCTGTTTGCAGATGATCTATCGATAAGGTTCCCTATCATGTTCATGTTGGTGTAATGTGGGTTGCGTATCTAGAACAGCGTGTTGTGCTGTTTCCAAGAAGAGCTTGAGTTCCTGAATGACCTTAAGGGCCTTAATATTGTCCTCGAGTTGTTGGATCCTCTGTTCCATGAGAGACATCTGTTTGCAGATGATCTACCGATAAGGTTCCCTATCATGTTCATGTTGGTGTAATGTGGGTTGCGTATCTAGAACAGCGTGTTGTGCTGTTTCCAAGAAGAGCTTGAGTTCCTGAATGACCTTAAGGGCCTTAATATTGTCCTCGAGTTGTTGGATCCTCTGTTCCATGAGAGACATCTGTTTGCAGATGATCTATCGATAAGGTTCCCTATCATGTTCATGTTGGTGTAATGTGGGTTGCGTATCTAGAACAGCGTGTTGTGCTGTTTCCAAGAAGAGCTTGAGTTCCTGAATGACCTTAAGGGCCTTAATATTGTCCTCGAGTTGTTGGATCCTCTGTTCCATGAGAGACATCTGTTTGCAGATGATCTATCGATAAGGTTCCCTATCATGTTCATGTTGGTGTAATGTGGGTTGCGTATCTAGAACAGCGTGTTGTGCTGTTTCCAAGAAGAGCTTGAGTTCCTGAATGACCTTAAGGGCCTTAATATTGTCCTCGAGTTGTTGGATCCTCTGTTCCATGAGAGACATCTGTTTGCAGATGATCTATCGATAAGGTTCCCTATCATGTTCATGTTGGTGTAATGTGGGTTGCGTATCTAGAACAGCGTGTTGTGCTGTTTCCAAGAAGAGCTTGAGTTCCTGAATGACCTTAAGGGCCTTAATATTGTCCTCGAGTTGTTGGATCCTCTGTTCCATGAGAGACATCTGTTTGCAGATGATCTACCGATAAGGTTCCCTATCATGTTCATGTTGGTGTAATGTGGGTTGCGTATCTAGAACAGCGTGTTGTGCTGTTTCCAAGAAGAGCTTGAGTTCCTGAATGTCCTTAAGGGCCTTAATATTGTCCTCAAGTTGTTGGATCCTCTGTTCCATGAGAGACATCTGTTTGCAGATGTAGTTGACTAGTTGTTGTACGATGAAGCTAACCATGCCACAGCTTGTGCATGTGATGGGAAGGTTTTCCTTTTTTTCCATCTCGTAGTGAGTGAGGTTACCAAGCAGCATCCGTATAGTGTTTGTTAATGAGTGTACACATTATGTGCAAACTGCTAACCACCTGACCCTTTGAGTGTTTGTTTTATGTTGGTTTTTTTTTGTATGTACTGTAAAGTTGTGTGTTAGCCTCGCCTTCAAAACAACATTCACACAGCTTTCTGGTTCCCCCAGCAGAATAGCTAGCCTTTAACTACAGGAGTCAAGCACACACTCAGCTTTCTAATGCAATCTAAGACAAGGCTTACCTGAATCAAGGGAACAAAGGTGACTTCTTGCTTCCTCAATTTCTCTGGGAACCCAACTGCCACTTATTTTATTTATTTATTTTGCATTGTATCCTGTCCTTCTCACCCCCGAGGGGGGACTCAGGGCGGCTTCACAACAGGCAGCCATTTGATGCCATCTCACAAATGTATAAATAACAGTTATAATTAAAACGAATAAAGACATCAATTATTTAAAAATCATTTAAAATCACACAAGTTCAAAATCGTAATCCAGGTAAATCCATTATTGGTCACATAGAATCATTGTCATTAATGATTGTTGCATCTATTGTTTGAATGCTTGGTCCCACAACCATGTTTTAAGTTTTTTTCCCTAAAGGACAGGAAGGAGGGGGCTGATTTGATGTCAGTGGGAAGGGAGTTCCACAGACAAGGGGCCACCACTGAGAAGGTCCTGTCTCTCATCCCCACCAGTCAGAATTGCGAGGATGGTGAGACTGAGAGCAGGGCCTCCTCCAACAATCTTAACCCTCATGTTGGTTCATAGTGGGAGATACGTTTGGACAGGTAAGCTAGACTGGAACTATTTAGGGCTTTATAGGCTAAAGCCAACACTTTGAATTGTATCCAGTAGCAGTCTGGCAGCCAGTGGAGCTGGTGTAACAGAGGGGTTGTATGTTCCCTGTAGACCGCTCTGGATGTCACCCATTGAACTAATTGAAACTTCTGAACAGTCTTCAAAGCCAACCCCACATAGAGTGCATTTGACATAATCTATTTGAGATGTAACAACAGCGTGAATTACCGTGGCCAAGTCAGACTTCCAAAGATACGGTGCACAAGTTTTAATTGTGCAAAAGTTCCCCTAGTCACTGCTGAGACCTGGGTTCAGCCTCTGAGTTCAGCCTCTGGCTTAAGATGCTGATGCAAGGGAGCAAAGGTGCCTTCTTGCTTCAAGTTCTGTGGGAACCCAACGACCACTTCAGTTCAGCTTCTGGCTAAATAGCTGACGCAAGGGAGCAAAGGGGATTTTTTGCTTCCTCAACTTCTGTGAAATCCCAACTGCCCCTTGAGTACAACCTCTGGCTAAATAGCTGGAGCAAGGGAGCAAAAGTGACTTCTTGCTTTCTCAACTTCTGTAGGAAGCCATGAACGCTTTCTTTACCTGTATAACTCAAAAGTTCTATAAAATACTGACAATTGGATTAAACCTTGCCAGTGCTATGAGGAGTTTGAGCTGAAAATAGTGCTTGGACTTG